GGAAGAACCTGAGGGATTTAGGGTAAAAGAGGAGAAACGTGTGGAGGTGTGAGGGAGGCCTAGCCAGAAAGGAGAGAAACAGGGGAGAAGATCCTGCCAGCCAGCCCATCTCTTTAGTCTGTCAGGTCTCCAACCCAGAGAAAGCAGGCGCTAACGTTCCTGACCTTTTTCTGGTACACTCTACGTGAAACCAGGGACTCAGGCAGAGTGTCAAGCCTCAAAAAGACGCCAGGGAGAGGATCAGGACCCGTGGGTATATGGAGCAGGTGATTTTTATGCTCTGCTCTCCTCAAGGGCGAGGTCCCAAGACTAGTTTTCTGTCTGGAGATTAAAATCACCGGTTGTCACGAACACAATGCTTTAGGGTAGAGGTGAGTGTGCTTGCCGGTGGCCAGTGGTAGGAATTATACATCCGATGGAAGGAAGACTAGCTCAAAATTAAATCCAGGGCGTCTCTGTCGGGTTTCCTTGAGATGGACTGAGCGCTTGGACAGAGCAGGAGGCACTGGGGGGGGGGGGGGCAGCTACAACCAAGGCCTTAAAAGTGCCTCCTTCCTCCCTATAGGAATCCCTAGTGTACCACTTTTAGGGCAAAGACTCTTTACAACGTAAACCTCTAACAGATTGCCCAATATATTGTTTGTGTTTTCTTTGCAGCCCAGCCTTGGAAGAGAATGTTTCAAACGTGTTTGAAGGCTGGCTCGATGCAAAAGAGAGCCCTCCCCTTCCAATTAGTTGGGGCTTGGGCCTAGCCCGACCCCCAACTCTCCCTCCCAATCCCACTCCCCCCCCCCCACACACACACCTGAGGACTCCTAGCCTCTGCTTCGTGCCCACCCTTGGCGCTACGGGTCGTCAAAGGGCCAGAGGATGCCGAGTAGCACAGAAAAGATCAGGAAAGGTGCCGAACCGGACTGGGTGCCCCACACCCAAGCCAACGCCTCTCCACTCTGTCCAAACGCCCACTGGAAGCTTGCATCAATTCCTGTTTTAACTGCCTTCCTAAGGGCTGAAGGCCTGCGGGATCCAAACCGGGGGTGGGGGTGGGGGGAAGATTTGCAGAGCTTTTTAAAGTAATCCCAAGGAGCTCCTTCCTAACACACCTGGGTGCTATAGTACTCTCTGGAACTCCAGCCTCCTGCCCAACCAGTCGGTCCCAGAAACCCGCCTGTCCCCAGGCTCTCTGGGTCTTGTTCCTAGTAGCACCATGGGAGTCGGAAGCCAGAGCTTCCTCTCTCAAAGTCCTCAGAAAGCGGTCAGGCAAACACAAACCACTCTGAGAGGTTCCGAGGGAAGGGACCCACAGTGACTCAGAAGGCATTCTCTGCACACGTCTTTGCTCAGACCCTTGGGCACCCAGCCTCCAGAGACAGTCAATCACTTCCTGACTTTGACGTTCAGGTGGGGGTGGGGAAGGCGTAGGACTCTTGCGCATACCCAAAGTGGCCCGGAGTGGTGTGGGATGGCGACACCCACCCTCCCAAATACCCGACCCAGGCCAGACGTCGCGCGTGGGGTAACTCAAGAGCGGTTGAGTTGCGGCTGGCGCTGGGTAAGCGGGCCTCGGTGGTTTCCTAAGGGACCGGGAGCCTGACCCTGCCAGAACACTCCCAACCCCCGCCCCCTGCTCCCCACTCCGCTGCAAAGGTGGAGCTGGAAGCATCATTGAAGGCTCAGAATCCCAACAAAAAGGAGCAGCTTTCCCCACATTTGGACTTTGTCCCGGGAGTTGTCCAGTAAGTGCTTCTGCCTGGAGTGAGATCCAGGCACCCAGCTCCTTCCTCTCCCAGCCAGGCCAAGACCCCAGCACCCTGGCCGCCACCCGCGTCCGGTGCCCGCCTCAGGGCTCCACAGACGACACCTCTCCCCGTGGCAAAACTTGCCGGCCCCGCTCCCTGCTAGGAGACAACCTCCCAAGGAACTGCTAATACCATCCATACAGCTTTAATGCGCTTATAATTCGATAAGTGATTTCAATTTGAAATTGTTAGTAACTAATTTTATGGGTAATTTTTCCACATCAAATATTTAAGCATCAGATTAAGGGCGCCAGTTTCGACGCAGGATCATAAGGGGGTTCCTCCCCACCCACCCCCACCTCTCCATCCCCGCGCTCCGCCTCCCTCCGGTCTCCTACCGCGTCGTTTTTCCAAATCCCCAAAAGGTGGCAGTCGAAGCCGACTTTCCTCTTTTCCTGCCGCTCTAAAGAAAGAACCGGGGTGGGGAACGGCGGGGGAGGGGTGGGGCGAGAAGAGGGCCGGGAGGGACTGGACCGTGCCTGGACTTTGCAAGCTGAGCCTTTAACACGTTTCCAACACCGCACTAGCAAGAGCAGCGGCGAATTTCTTGGAAACATCTCTAGCCAAAGCAGCGTGCCTGGCGGCCCTAGGGTTGGGGTGCGGGCGGCTCCGCACACTCGCACTCAGCGCTCAGACTTGTACGGAAGAAGGAGAAGCAGGGAGGGACCCACCGACTTCTTCCTTTTTTTTTTTTTTTTTTTTTTTTGTAGTTTAATATTGTCTGTACTGTACTGTACAACCAAACTTGGTTCTTCGAGGCCCGGCTCTGAGAACTGCATAATGGGGGTGTGGGGGGGGACTGCATAATGGGGGGTGTGGGGGGGGACTAAAGAGGGAGGAGGGGGCGCAGCGGATGAATTGCAGAGCAGTTGCCAAACTTTTTTCCCCCTGCTGCCGCTGCTGCGGCTGCCGGTGCTGCAGCCTTTGCTTTGAATGTGTGTAACTAGGAAACAGCAAGCCGTCTGAGAAGACGGAATTTCCAACGTGTAAAATGTTCTTAACGGAACCATTGAGCGAGTGCAATAAGGCGTGAGGGGGAACTAATCTTCCCATTTAAATGTTTGTGGCAATTTTATCTAAATGAATTTTAATGCTAAACGAGGGTAATTCCCCATTTGTAGCGCGTTTGCTTCTTTCCTGTGCTTCTAAAGCAGTCGAACATCGTGCAATGAACAATAACAATAAAAATACTGCCAAGGCATATTATTCATTTTGAATGTGTTATAATTACATTTGATTAAATATGATCGGGTAACATATTTTTTTTTTAATTTTTGGAAAAATACTTAAATCCTTCTACAGTCTCATTCAGCCAGCGGACCTCCCCCCACCCCACCCCCCAAAAAAGCCTGTACAATTGTGTGCCCTGTTTAGGGGAGGGCGTTTTGTTTTTGTCCTTTAAGAAACATCAAAAACACTCTCCACACCTCTATTATTTCCCTCCTTCCGATAAGTGTCCTCAATAACCTCAAAGCTAGCTCTGAAATTTACAAGAGGAAAAGCTATAACAGCATTAAGCAGGAGGGTGTCGGGGGGGGGGCAGAAAGAGCGAGACCTAAGGAGTGAGGTTCACACAATCCGCACACCGAGGGGGGATCCACGACACAAAAGGTTGTTGAATTTTTTTTTTTTAATTCCTGGACATTAATGATCATGATTCTCTTTAATCTCCATACCCCCCCTTTGCTTACACTCACTCTTTCCCTCCCTAAAACCTCCCCCCTTTCCTCTCTTTTGCCCCCCCAGCTCCCTCCGCCCCCCCCCCCATTAGGCAAGTGCCTGCAGGAAAATCAAGGCTGACTCAACGGGCATGTATCAGGGAGGCAGGAATGAAAGGATGGTTAGTTCCTAAAGTTTATCATTAATTTTAACGGTAAATAAATGGTTGTTAACTGCTACTAACCACCCATCACAGAAAATGATTTCACTAATATGGACTACTTAATGCAGTCATGGAACTGTCTCGGGGCCAAAATAGGAAAGTTAAACGGGGCCCATCTTTGGGGTGGGGGCGAGGTGGGTGGCAGCGCCGGGACCAGGCTGCAGGCGGCGGGTTAGGCCTCCCTCTTGCACATCCTCGTGCTCTGAAAGAAGGGCCCTTAAACGGAAGGTGAGAGTGCACACTGCTGCTCCAGCAGGTGAGGCAGTGACTCCCGGTAAAGGCAGCCCACAGCTGGCCGCTCTTTCCCAACAGGAAACAGGATTACCGCAGGCAGGTTTATAAGGTGACAAGGGTCTGAATGCCAGCCTGGAGTGTAAGGCCTCTGACTCATCCTTTGTTCCCAAAGCAACCAAAAGGCTCATTTTAAAAAATAAATTTGCCCTAATTAAAATATTTGTATATTTCTCTTAGCTTTGCAAAGCACTTTTTAGAGTAGCGATTTTATGTAAGTGAAATTATAAGCTATTGCAGCTTAAACATGTCATTTTGAACCATTTAGCTGGCTGCCATGCAGAAATTCTGTACAGCTGTTCTGGAAAATTGGTTAATAACCAGTTTTATCCAATGAGAACATAGAGCATATTTATAAAAATTAGATTTTGAAGTCTGGCCTCTTCAATTTTATATAGTTAATTTCTTAATAAACGTGTACTGCTTGTCCTAGATTATATCCTTGGTGAAAGGCTGGCTGTGGGCTTTAGCTTTGCCACTGTATGCAAGCATAGTGTAGGTGAATAATATTGTCACATGTAATCTGAGTCTACAGCTAGTTTAGTGACTTTAACTCTTAATTTTGTTGATATTACCAGTTCATTGAGTCATCTTAAACCAGCCGTTATTGTTAAATAATTTACTCAGTGGTTATAATTTTCAAATACATATGACTCAGGGAGCTAATCGTTATATTTATTGTACTAATCATTAAAAATGGGGGGGACATATTTTTTAAGTAGTAAAGTCAGAATGACAAAAATAGTCTTGTTTTTATTATGGATTCTGATTTCATTACTGTGCTCAATGACTACAACTGAACTTGGAGTTCTCATACAATCCAAATTCCATCAAAATGCTAAGACTCATTGTGTCCTGATTGTTATTAATAATTAGCTCCTTGTTTTCTTGATAGAAAAAGGATATTGACAAGCATTTGTTTATCCACAACAAAAAGTATAATTAGCTTATCCCACTTAGTAAACCTTGTATGCATGCCAACTCATACCAAACTGCTACTTTTACAAGAAAAAATTGCAATAATACAGTTCATTTTTCCAGTCCTTTTTGCACAAAATTTATTTACAATGTCTACATAAATGCTTCAAGGTGGGACTATGGAAAAATACACACATGACCAATGCTTTGCTGAGAAATAAAGTCAACATATTAAAAATAAATCTTCAGTCTATGTTTTTGAGCTGCACAAAACAGGAAGTGATGTATAAGGTGATGGTTGTTGTCGCATGGGGACAATGATGCTTGATGTGACAATTAGGCTTCTAAACACACGGCCTTTGGGTTTCCATGCCTCCTCCTACCAGTCTCCTTCAGACACTGCCTGCAACAGCTGATTAATCATTGTTGATGACTGCAGTTTTTCCCATCCTTCCCGATTTACATCTGTTCAGGCCAATTCAAATATGGTGAGTAAATGAATTAGACATGCAAATTCAAGCCCCAGGCTAGAGAGAGGGAGAGAGAGGAAAAGAGAGAGAAAGAGAGAGCGCACATGGCTGAAATCCTAGGCAAGAAGAAAGATTCTTCTGCCTGATAGTTATTTTAATGCTCTAAAAACCCTGCAAATCAGACCTTCCTGTCCCTTGCAGGATAACTGTAAGGCTTTTTAATGTAAGGAGGCTTCTGGAGGAAGTGAAGAGCTATGGAAACAACACACATAGTGTGGAAAAATTTCACATTTTTTTTAAAAAATCTATAAGAAACAACGTAATATGGATAACAGTATAATAGCATTTACAATATTTCACTCTTTGTTCTTTTAATGTCTTATATAGTTATTTTGCATGTCCCCCAAATTGACTTCAGATGGTTTTCCTGCATTTTAAGAGTCCCTATGAAGAATTAGGGATGCTCCTTGGTCCAAAGTAGATGTCAAGAATGGAACTCCATAGTCATTGCAGAAAAAAACATGATTTGAAATCAGTCACCATTGCAGACAATGCATAGTCCCTTAAGCTACTGAGCATGAATGTCCATGACTTGTCCACTCATTGTCGGGTCTCCTGTATTAAGAACCGAGGGGCTTGATGCTGACATTGGCATTCCAGGGTGGGGCGGTCCTCCATGCATCATCACTGTTGGGTGGTGAGGGTGTCCAGGAATGTACGTATGCATGGGGGGCCCATGTCGCAGCTGAGCAGGATGGGGGGGCATCTGGGGTTGGGTATAACTTGGTTGTCCCATACTCACACCCATTGGACCACCCCGGGCTACATACTCCCCTGTCATACTTTGCAGCCCTGTAGAAATTCAAAAGAAAGAAACAAAAAGAAAATATTATGGAAAAGCAACAGTGTGGTTCTGATTTTGGCAGTTCTATGAAAACCAGGGAACACTGTGATCAAGGGCCTTGGGAAACATTCTTTTGATTCCTACAGAAGAAAATAAAATGAGAGATGTCAGAGCTGAATCTCTGAATTCACCACTATTGCCCTTGCATTACCGTCATTATCAGTCCTCCTACCAAGTCTAATTTAAAAACAACCTAACAACAACCAAAAACACCTCACTGGGTTCTGATCTAAAGAAGCAGTTTTTGTCCCCTGAAATATGCTCTATCAAAAGTGTGTACACTGCTGTGGTAACTCAATGTTTCTCAGGAAGCAGAACTAGGCAAGCTCACTAATAGTGACCACTTAAAATCCTGTACCTTTGGGGAAGAAAAAAAAATCAAAACAGTTATCAATAAATCCCTTCCACATGGCCTCTTAGAGCTGGGGGAAAGAAAAGCTTAACAGAACCCTGTCTACCTTACAATGATTCTGAGAACAATAAGAAAAATTGGACCTAAAACAATACTCCTCTTGCTTTGAGGGGGCCTCTTGTCTTCTGCATGGATTGCTCTAGTTGATGGAAACTGACGGGTGTATTGTTTCTGAGAGCCATAAGCTCCATCATCATCAAGGGTGAAAGGCATAACGCCATTGCTAAGTATGTTCAATTGGCTTTAGTTCTAAGTAATAGCGCACTGTGAATACGATGAACACCTTCGAATAAGGTCTCCAGGCTCTGGCAATGAATGGCTGCTTAATCTAGCCTAAAGGAACATTTTTGAACTAATGAAAATTGCTTATAAAATATACTGTACCCACAGCTCTTTAATCAAAAAAGATGATAATATTTTTTGTAATAACCTATTAATTTAATTGGTCACGAAGCATAAAATACATCATTTAAATTTAATTGACCCAGAAACTAAGAAACAATATTTAAATTAACTAAGCTGGAGAATTCCATGATGAGGTAATAAGACTGTTGATTTCCAAGCTCAATGGAATGCTTTCAGAGTGAATTGTTAAACTCATATTGGACTCCCACCCAGAGAAGACGACCAGCGTGCAGTACCCTTGGCCTCAGCAAGAATTTTAAATAGTGTGTTAATATAATCAGGGGCACTTCCAAGACTCTGAAATTGTGGCTTTTAATTTCAAAAAAAGAAAGCCAGAGCAATGCTGTTAGGGGTGACTTAGGAGATGAACTGGGGCTTTGGAGTTCAAAACAGTTTTAGTTGTTTGAACTCAAATTTCTGGGGTGTCTTTTTAGGGGAGAAAATGTCAGAGCGAGAATCTGGGGCAGTTTTCCTAGGCTCACTTCACTAGGCCTGCCACTGAAGATTGCATTAATGATCTCTATTTTTGTATACTGAATAAGTCAAATCCATTTGTCACACTGCAAGTGATGGCATACTTAATTTGGATATAGTCAATTAGCCTGGGCTAAGCCCTGAAGCCTGCTGTGCACACCTCTATTTTGTATTCTCCCTTTTTCCATTGCCACACGTAATCCCATTATGATGGACAGACAAAGGAACAAACTAAGAAAAAAAATCAAAGTTTAGTTGACTGAAGCTCAAAATATGCCTTTACTTACCCTAAGTAAAGCTGTGTTTATTTTACGTAAAAGAAGTTCTCTGTTTGGCTTTTTGGTGTCTTGCAGGTTAGTGTGGAAATGTAACTCATGCATCAACTGCGGTTAGACAGATTTATGGCACTTTGGGGACATGCTCTTTCCTCTCCTTGCACTGCTGCAGACTGCTTACATTTTGCAAATCAGTCTGTTGCTATGACAACCCACTCCCCCACCTCCTGACTGTTTCTTGTTTTGTCATGTGGTCAGTACTGTACAATAGCAACACACAGGATAAATGTATATCATACGCAGAATGTATAAGCTTAAAACCTTGATCAAAACCAACAAGAAAATGAAAGAAGCAAGAAATAAGAATTTAATGGAAATAATGAACAAGCATGAAGCTATGGGCAAGGAGAACATGAGAAAATGCAAGAGGAAAAAAAAATATTCCTAGGACAAAGTGAAAACAAAGACCCCATTTGTACTTACTTCCCCCTTGCTTTCGATTGGTTAACTAGATGAAGGTTACATGTAGTGCCACTGCCCCTCCATGCCCATATTCATGCCCATTCCACTCATAGGTCCTAGAAGGGAGATAAAAATCCAAGAAGAGGCCAGAAAATGAGCAAAGTCAACAGATAGTGCCAAAAGACCCTTTAACAAAACAGGTTCTAGTCGCCAGCCAAGAGGCAGTGAGATCTTGAGCACATAAAGGTCCTGGCTTCCCCTTCGCAGCATCTTACGTGAACAGATGGCAAAGCAAGGCGAGGCGAGGTGAGGAGGCAGGCAGCTTGAGAAAGCAGAGGGTGGGCTGGGTTTACCTGTGCTGACTGGGACTGGGGGAGGACGACCCTTCTAGAGTGAAACATGAAACCCACCACAAAACCATGTCTCACCTGGGGCCCTGATGCCCATGTGTTGCTGGCCATCCATTACAAAGCCTCCCATTGGCTGTCCGTCAGGGTTATAAGGTGTTCCTTGGCTGACTACAAAAGTACACAGCACAGCTTCTTAATAACAGGAGGGGGAGGGGAGGGGGAGAGAAGGGCAGGGAAGGGGAAGGGGGGAGGAGAAGACCAGAGGAGACACAGAGAACATACTAACAGATATCATTTTTAAACCAAAGTTAATTATTTCTCTCAGACCAGTTCTATGCACCTCAGTGACTTGAGTTTCAAGTGCTTTGTCCAAGCAACAGGGTAGACAAAAATAAATAAATAAAATTTATGCTCAGGATTTTGTCTGGTAGCTCCATAATGGGCATTGAAAGAAAAAGTTACTGGAATGTGACTAGCCAGGAACTGACTCAGTAAGATAGTAGCAGAGCTTTCAACAGAACTGAGAGATATTTCAGAGCCACAGTCCAAACCTGCATCACCCTCCGGTAAATTTTCTTGCTGCCTTTGCTACCATATTATAATACAAAACAATTCCTAGGGCTCATGACTGAAAAACAGAAAAGCTGTTATTTTTAAAAACTGGGGATAGCAGAAGACAGATATTAATGAGCGAGGTCATGAGACTAAGAGCTATGTATTTATGCCACTAACAGAATCCCATGTTTTAACTGTACATGAAAAGCTGTTTCAGAAGTAAGCTGCCTTGGGTTATTAGAGCACACAAAAGCTCTACCTCACTGAATGTCTTTGAACTTTACTGAGTCCCACAAGTGATCCTGACCCCCTTGACCTTTTGACAGGTAATAAAGTTTACAGCAATTCCACACCAAGCCATGCACCAGGGAGTGGTCATAGTAGCAGAAAGCTGGGTAGGCAAACTCAGGGGAAACAAAGTAACATTAATATATCCAATGTTTACAAAGGAGATTATAACTGAGCACGTGGTTTAAGAGTTACTTTTCTCCATTGGCTTTTTACTTCCTGCTCTCTTCAAACATTTTATAAGGATGTTAAATTGATTAGTGTTGTTACAAAACAAAACTGGTTTAATTTTCACTGCCAGGCACTCCTAGTACTCACTCCCAGTTCCTTTACCAGGTAGAAGCTCTCCTGGTGAATGGCTCGAGGGTGGCTTTCGCTTGCCTGACCTGAACACAGTCACTAGAGGGGACTTGCCTGCTCGGTTGGACTGGTCTATCATGGGCTGCACTATTCTTCTCCGGGCATTAATAAACCTGTAACCAAGAAAGCACAGCATATCATTACTGCATAAAACCATAAACAAAAGGTAGAGGAAGAGATGAGCCATAGTAAGGGAGCTTTGGCAAGCTGAGCCTGCCTCTTTTCTCTCCCTCCTGGACAGCTTCGAATGCTGCAAAACCTGTGACCCCGTGACCTCCGAGTACAAGGCTTAGGTTTCTGAGTTGATTTATGTTTGCCTGTTTTACCACAGTTGGACACTTCCATTTCATCTTTTCATGGGGGAATTAGCAGAGTTTTCAGGAAACAATGCTAGCCTCCACTCTTTTCAGTAGGCAGGGCGGGGGTTGGTGGAGATGAAGAACCCACAAGGACATCTGCGACCTCCCAATTACTGACATTTCAATCTTACACTCTCTGACTTCTTTTTCACAGTTTGTCTGATCCAAACCTCCCCTACCTTTTGCAAACCTAGTTTCATCTTTATGTCCACTGCTAAGATAACAGACCGAGTTGGCAGAGCACCATCAGTTGAAGGAACGTCTGGGGTTTATCACTATTAACTCACACTTCTGGGGACTTTAGAGAATCGCATTCCTTGGAGACATTTCTTGGCATGACTTTTTTTTTTTTTCTTTTTATGCAAAATCCGTGAAGTCAAGACAAGGTCACATCTACACAGCCACTGAATTTATAATTTTGCTTTCTTCAGCCACTACTGAATATTTATAATCATCTTATTAAGATATTTAAGTTGCTCTAAGTTTATTTAAGAAATTGCTTGGTACAAGTCTTTTCATAGCTCTTCCAAATGTCAAACCACTGAAATATTAAAAAAAAAAAATGCAACTAACTCCAAATCCATCTTCATAAGATTCTAACTCTTAAGACCTGTTGTCCTAAATATTAAGAATTGTATACCAACTCAAAAAAAAAATAGCATATGTACTAAGTTTTGAAACAAGAAGTTGCTTTTAGTTCCCAACTCAGTTCTCAGCAGGACATCAAAATTATGATAAAAGTTCAAAAATACCCTATTGGTAATTGAAGGGTCCTTGGTCTTATATAAATTTTAGTTTGTATATCTCTCTATTTGAGCAAATAAAGCAGTTCTGAAAATCCAAACCATTAAACAGTCAAGGATGTGTCCTTAAAAATAAAGATCCATGCTTCATAGCATTTTAGATTCTCAGTAACCTGGATCTGTGTTCTTCCTGAGAAGTAACTAGGGTAAAGGGTGGACCTGAGTCTTACTAAAAAGGTACACTGTGGGTGCTGACAATTAGAGGCCATGTATTGTACCGGTTTTTACATATGAAGTCCCTGAATGCTAATAAAAATATTTAAAACACAGATCTACAACAAATTGTGTTGCAAATCAGGTTATCATTATCTTATATAAGCCATGAAAATTGGAATCATGTGAGCAGAAGGGTAGATTAATTCTCCAGTCTCATTATAAACACAGGTGTAGCACAAACACCATGTGAAATAACCAATTAAAATGAAAAAAAATCTGCCTTTTCATTAGCTGTCTGCACTGCATGACCAATTAGAAAATTATTTAATATTAATATTCTGCATATACCAAAAGTAATTTTCATAGTAACTAATATAGGTAAGAGAGTAAAGCATAGCTCTTTATGGTACTGTTTATTATCTCCACTGACAGAAAAGAAATTTAGTGTGCAAACTTTCTGTTTCAAATCTTTTAAATTTTATGGATAAGGAGAGCAAACTTTTGTTGCTGTTTTGATATTTTGTCTTGTTTTTTTTTTTTTTGAGACATGTAACTCTAGCTGTCCTGGAACTAGCTCTGTAGACTAGGCTGCCCTCAAACTCAGAGAAATCCTTCTGCCTCTGCCTCTGCCTCCTGAGTGCTGGGATTAAATGCATGTACACCACCACACATGGCTAGGAAAGCAATTTTTTTAAATGAAAATATTTATTGCTACCATGATATTGAAATGAGATAATCTGTTTTGACGGTTTGCTTCTTAGCTTGAGGTCCCAGATAATCCCTGGAATAGGCATTTTTCTAACTTTCAAATTTTACAGTGAGTGATACTCTGAATAACTTTGGACAGCCTCCTTGTTCTCTGTACAATGTGTTGCTTGGCCAGTATTTTAAATTTAACTTTATTCTATGTGCATTGGTATGAAGGTGTCAGATCCCCTGGAATTGGAGTTACAGACAGTTGTAGGTGCTGGGAATTGAACCTGGGTCCTCTGGGAGAGCAGCAGGTGCTCTTAACCACTGAGCTATCTCTCAAGCAATTTTTAACAAACGAGAACAATTTTTAACAATGCTCAGAGAAATTAAATGCCTTATTTGAGGTTACATGCTGCCAAAGAGATGTTAAGAATTTATTGATGACACAAAGAAGTGTTATCAACAAATTCTAATGCTACAACTATTGATGCCATTGATGCACCACCCTCTAGAATAATCCATACTAAGCAGATATCTGAAAAGCAGTTGCTTCTGAGCCAGTTTCCACTGGCAGCAACATTTACGCTGAGACAAGGAATAAGCATGACAATGAACATCTTGATGGCTCTGGGAGTCCCTATGGTTGCCTGGCTTGAGTATATAGATAAAGATGAGGCTAATCGAAAGATTCCTTGATTGGGTTTTCCATATTCCAACCTTTGCCTTCCCTCACTCAAACATGCACACTCCCAAAGACCAGTGCATCATAACCAGCTCAGGTTACCAATCCAGGACCATTCCTCTCATGGCACCAGAGAAAAACTGTTTAGGAAGTACTTTGTCACCTAACTTGGCCATTAGCATGGATCTCCTCTATAAAATCCCACCAAATCAATGCCTAGGCTCTACTGGACTGAACGAAGCCAACACAGAACAAATCATTTTCCCTGAGAGTGTGAACAAAGTGAGCTGCCGCCAGAAGGTCCTGTTGTCCATCTAAAATCCTGCCATGGTACAGTGCTTTGGGGCAATTGAAATCATTTCACTCAACACCTGAACAGAAGCATCATGTTCTCTAGAGTTCTTTGTCTTTTCCCTGGGTTAAACATCCATGGTTCTTAAAAGTCTCTTTTTTTGTTATTGTTGTTCGTTTTTTCCCTCTAGAGGTAAGTACCTCTCATATTTTGAGCTTGCTATCCCGCATGCCCCTCTATTAAGTTTGCTGAAATTATTTGTATCTCTATGGAGGTCTGCAGAGACACACTGGTCACATTTATTCTGGGCCTGTCCTGGTCCCCATGTGAAGGGCAAACTCATTACCACATGCTCTTAGCTCACCACACACAGGCAACAGGTATTATTTACCTCTTTTTGTGGAGGAGATAATTGGTTTTTGTTTTATTTTGTTTTGTGTGTGTGTGTGTGTACAGATATAAGAGACTCATAGTTTATATAGATACCAGGATGAAAATCCTGTCATTAAAAAAACAAATGGAAACACTTGAAATCAAAGAAAACTCAACCACTTTGAATTGCTCAGAGAGGTTACAAGGTTTACATATTACTTTCTTTCTTGTTCTGAGAGAGGGTTGCATGGAGCTCATGCTGACCTTGTTTATAACTCAGGAAGATGACCCTGAACTCCTAAAAGTTGAGATCACAGGCTTCTTAAATATGGCTGGTTTATGAGGTGCTGGTGGACTGCACCTAGCCAGGGCCTGGTATGTGGTAGGCATGCACTCTACCAACTGACCTACACCTTCAGCCCAGCTTGATCTTCCTGAAAGCCATTATTTAAAAACATTTCAATAAAACAAAATATTACTAATATATTTAGAACACAGTGAATTCTTGGAACATTCCTATAGTCTCTATACTACTATGAACAGCTTGTACCACGGCTTGAGGTCATGGTGAACATCTTTACCTGAAAGTAACTAGTTAAACGGCAAAGTATTTCATTTTCTAAAACAACACTTCATTTATATGTGGCATCATTTCACAACTTGAGTTTCCTTGGTGTATTTTGCCGCCATCAGAGACGACCTCTGGTCTTTCCCCTGAAACCTCTCTCTTTGGAATTAGCTGCACATAGCAGAGCTGTATTTAGAAGGCTTGGGGGTGAATCCAGATACAAAAACATTTTCCTTCTGGGCAAAGCAATAAAATGGCATTCTTGCTCCTCCCACTATAAGTCAAACTGAGGTCAGCTCCCTTGTCCCACTATCTGTTTAAATAAACTGGCCAGGCTGTTTGTTTCTCAAGTGCCCTTTGACCCGTGTCTCATCCTCCCTGCTTTGGTGACAGAATGCTTTACTTTTCATTGTGAAAGAAGGAAAATTATCAAGAAATATCCAAACCGGGGAACCAACAAAATGCCTGTAGATTGAATGTGAACATAAATGGACTTATTTTCCTTCTTAAAGCACTGTTATTTTAGGAGAAATCAGTAAAATAATTAGTGTGTGTGTGTATATATATATATATATGTACATATATATACACACATATATAATTAAAATGTATATACATATATACACATATGTATATGTGTATATATGTGTGTATATATGCATATATACTGAAATTATATCATGTACTTAAAGAAAATAACATTTCTGAAGAGAAGAAAAAGAAGGATAGAACCTGAATTAGCATGTATAATATAAAGAAATTTTCTAATTAATACAGAACACTTTTTTAACAAATGCAATTCAAATATAACTGAGATGTAGCTGTCAGGAAGGTGATGGTGTAATGTGTGAGCTTGGCTTACTTGCTAAGATGGGCAGTTGTACACCTTTTCTTAATAGAATATAAGAATATAATAGAATATGCTACAATTTAGTTTTTAAAGTAAACCATCAAGATAAGTAAGTTTTAAAGGCTAGAAATGTTTGCCCTTGTATTTTACATATACACACACACCCCTTAATTATAAACTGCTTGTAAGAACTAGACTTCCTTTCTGTAGGTGATAAACAACCGAATTAAGGAAAGAAGCCTTCATCACCTTCTGTACACACCATAGAGTAGAACTTCTCTTGAGACCCAGTTTTTTTCTCAAGCCAAGTTTTGCAAAGGAAAGCAAGATAGCGAGTT